CCCTAATCTCCATAATAATAACGCTTGAAAAAGAGCGAGGAAAAAGTGGTGTAAAGAAGTCAATATAACCGTTGTGGTGCAAAGAAGTCAATATAACTGTTGTGTAGTAGTGTAAAAAATCGATATCACTGTAGTGGTGCAAAGAAGTCAATATCACTGTAGTGGTGCAAAGAAGTCAATATAACTGTAGTGATGTAATGAAGTCAATATAACTGTAGTGGTGTAAAGATATGATGTTTAAGCTTTGGTTACGAATTATATTCTACTTGTGGGCAAGGCCTGGCATGGCCTAGTGTAGTAAAGAGCTCGACTCGCAATATGCGGGTCGCAGTTTCGAATCCTGTAACCGAAAAAAGCTTACCTTTCCAGCCAACAAGGCGTTATAATGTGGTGGATGGTGTTTTGCCTTCACTCTATTCTATTACTTCAAAATTGGGGATGGCTAACACAGATAACCCTCGAGTTGCTTTGCGCAAACTTCAAGAAACAAAAAACTTCTGGGCGAAGCATCATATATTTTGTTATTGCTGTAATTACGTTGTCTTATATTTCTATAGAAAATCTAAATTTTGATTTAACATTGTGTCATAATACCATTAACATTTTTTGTAGTTAAAAAATTGGTGTGCTGTTTTACTTAGGACAAGTTAATAATGTTTTTCTTTTTTATAGATATATACGTTGTTGTTGTTTGTTATTACGCACAAAGCTTCACAAAGGACTGTCCTCTACCCACCACGGGTATCGAAACCCGGTTTCGAGCAGTATAAATCCGCAGACATACTGCTGTGCCATTAAGGGGGGGATATATATGTCGTAAATAAATTTAAAAACCTAACATCACACGTGTGGAACGAACCAATGAAAAAAATATACAGGTACAAAGTTGGCATGGTACAACGTGTCCTAGTGATAGAGGTATCTGTGGAGATAGGGCCTACACAGCGATACTGATAAATCGTATGTAATATAATAAGAGTTATACTGTCCTTATCTTCTACAATCCCTTAGTTATTTCAATGACTCGTCTTTAAGAAGATGTTTAAATGAAAATTTTGTAAAGTGTGTTCATCCTATTTATCTACTTCAAATCATTTGGCGATGAAAGAGAACCGGAGATTTTAATTTGACGTAATAAGAAATACTTGACTGAATTGTACTCAGTGTAAAATAACATTAAGTTTTAGAAACACTATAGCAGTGATATTGATTTTTACACTACTACAGTTATATGATTTTTTACACCACAATAATTATATTGATTTTTTACACCACAACAATTATATTGACTTCTTTACATCACTACAGTTATATTGACTTCTTTACACCATACAGCTTTATTTACTTCTTCCTGTTAGTTGATGCGATGATAATTGGTTCACTATATTTCAAAATAACTACTTTTTTATAATAAAATGTACAATGGACATAAGATTTTACAACAGTAAGAGTATCTGTAGAGTACAACGGATATGAGATTTTACGACAAATGGTATCGAATTCAAATAAACTGATACCTTTAGGTTTCCGTCTCTGTGTGTAGTGTAAACGTATGTAACATTCTGTATTTAGTAAAACAACTTGACAAAAGTATTAATAATTAGTACCATTAATACGAACTGGTAAACATGTGATCTTTCGTAATGAATATACCAATGACGTTATGACAGAAAAAAAAAGGCAACGTGACTTGGTTCCAAATTTGAAAGATTACAAATGAAAACATTGTATGCTTGTTTTCAAATATTTTCCGAACGACCAAATATTTGTCATATTTCCTTAAAGAAAAAAAGTTTAAAGTTATGAATAATAACTTCTGTATGGGTACAACTAACGATAGAATAAATATGAACATTTAATTGGTAAGAATTGAGATTATTTCCAGTAAAAAAATGTAAACTGTGTAAGTATGGGCGTTTATTTAAGCCATTTTTTTATTCTTTTAGGGACGACAAGTAATGGGCACGCTCCTGTGTTAAACCTTTCTCAACATAGTAGTCGTGCAGCTGGCTACAACAACATTAGTAATGGCGGAAGTGGTAATAACAGCGGAAGTGACGGTGCGTACAATGAACACATGGATGATGACGACAGTGAAGATGACGATGATGACCACGAGCATGGTGCGTAACTTAGGAGTTCTCATTTCTCAATTATTATCAAACATAGAATGTAATTTAATATTTATGTTGGACTTACCTAATGACGGGATTCAGTAATGGGGATGTTTTTAACTTAACGAGGGATTCCCTACTGGTTATGTTTTTGGCTTACTTAATGTCAGTATTCAGTAGTGGTGATGTTTTTTGTCTTAATTAATGACGGGATTCAGTAGTGGGGATGTTTTGGCTTACTTAATGTCAGTATTCAGTACTGGTGATGTTTTTGGTTATTAAATGACGGGATTCAGTACTGGTTATGTTTTTGGCTTACTTAACGACAATATTCAGTAGTGGTGATGTTTTTTGTCTAACTTAGTAACGTGATTCATTAGTGTATTTGTTTTTTGTCTTACTTAGTGACGGGATCCAGTAGTGGTGATGTTTTTGTCTTACTTAGTGACGGGATCCAGTAGTGGTGATGTTTTTTGTCTTACTTAGTGACGGGATCCAGTAGTGGTGATGTTTTTTGTCTTACTTAACGACAATATTCAGTATTGACAATATTATTAGCTTAGTTATCGATTGGATTCAGGAACGGAAATTTTCCTAGTTGTTTTATCTACGTTTACATAAACTTAAGAAATATTTTACAAATCCTATAACAAATAATTCTCAAGATATAGTTCATTTGTTCTCAGCTTCAAGTTCGTGCTGAGCTATATTTTACATCTGAGTAATGATGGCTTTACTATACACGTAAGTATGGCAAAAAAGCAAGTTGTACAGGGGGTTACAACTCTGTTTCGAATGTCAGAATGTGGGTTGGATGGCATTCACACGTGATGTATATCATAGCAGTAGAAATAAATTACCATATTATTTTTACTTTGTGGGTTTAATGTACGTTTTATACTTCAAAATTCAAATTAATGTACATATAATGAAGTATTTCAGTCCTACAGAGTTTTATTCTTCCACATTATGTTGTTATTTTATGCGTTTACGCAGGACTAAAATGATTTAAGTGTATGATGCTGTACCATCTATCAATTGAATTGTCATAAATAATTAAACGACATTCTACTATTAAAGTGTAATTTTCTATCATCAGACTTCAGTGACACCCCAGATGTAAGCAGTACCGCCAACACCGACCACCTTTCTGCCCAGAATGCGCTGTTTTTTCAGAGTCTGAACAATGGCGGTGGCGCCACCATGGGGCAGGCTGTGTCATCAATAGAGACTTTGTTAAGAAACATACAGGGACTATTGAAGGTGGCTGCAGACAATGCTAGACAACAAGAGAGACAGATAAATATAGAAAAAGGTAGTTTTACTAGAAATAGTTCTACAGATACTCTTGCTGTTGTAAAATCTCATATCCATTGTACTCTACAGATACCCTTGCTGTCGT